GAGGCTTCCATGCTCAGGTTTTCCCAGATGCTGCCCCAGGAAATGAGCTTCTGTGGTGGTCCTGGAAGCCTCTGGTCTTTTCAGGGAGCATGTTTCCAGAGGTAAGATTGTTATTACACACCCTATCTTTGTCCTGACTTCTGTCGATGTCCCCAAGCTATTCTGGGAATCAAAGGCCAGTGTGCATGCAGGGTTCCTCAAACTCCCTCGTGCTCTATGGCCATGCAGCCTGTGGGTCAGAGCTGCACTGTGTTTGAAAAGTGTGGCCACAGTGACTCACACCCACAGTGGCCTGTCTCTTCCCAATGGTCCAGAGCTCAGGTGCAGCCAAGGATCACAATTCCCATGACTCGGGTCCTTTAGAATGGTTGCTGTGTGGAGCAACTGGCCTGGGGCTCCAGCAGTGCTGACCACCCTGTCGACTTCCAGGATGCTGTCACAACAGAGGAAGTTCCTGGACCAGTTCACGCAGCACCAGCAGATCCGCCTGGCCTCGCAGAAGCAAAAGGCGCAAAAGCTTGACCAGCTTGAAGCTCAGCTGGAGACTCAGCTGCAGGTAGTTTGGGGAATGTGCCGTGGAGGCTGTGGTGTGCCATAGAAATGAGAGCTCACACCCAGGTTCACAGCTGCACAGACCACTCTGAGGGACCACATGTCCCCCTCGCCTCTGTGCCTTCCTCTCTGAGTGGTATCACTGGCCCTCTGAGTCCCACCAGCCCACACAGCATGGCCTCCCCCAAGGGAGCATCTGCGCAGCAGCCCAGCCCTGAGCCTGGAATTGGGCAGAGTGGCCCAGAGCTGATTGGTGGCAGTGGCAGAGCCCCTGATGTGCCTTCATCTGTGGATGGGGCTGTGAGGCCTGAAGAGATAGCCAAGTCTGGAGTCCACCCCTCCCCCGTCCCCGTGCCTCTGCCTTGACCCTGACCTCCCAGGGTGCTGCTAGCAGTCTTCATCCACACTGGGAATTGGGACATGGTCAGCAGCGGTCCTCCAGAGGGGAGGCTTCTGCAGTGGGGTTTGGGGAAGACAGGGACCGTCTTCTGATCCTCTTCCATTTGCACATCAGGAAGCTGAGAAGATCTTCATTTCAGAGCTGGTATCCTTGGCCCGAGTGCCCCTTGCTGAAAACAAGCCAGTCTCCAAGTACAGGCTGCTGGGTAAGTCTCTGGGTGCTGCAGCACTCAGAAGTGTGGATGCTAGTCAGCCACCGTCATTGACCAGCTGTGTGGCCTCGGATGTCCCGCACAGCCTCTCTGGGCTGTCCTACTCTTTTTGTACGTGAGCAGGCCAGGACAGCCCAGAGACCCTGGCTTTCTAGCATTCCATAATTTCAGTTCCTGTTCCTGCTGTTCACCAGCCCATCTCATCCCCAGCTCCACTTTCCCATC